GGGGGGCGGGGGGCGCGGGGGTGCAAAGCTGCGTGGCGGCAGCCGCGGGCCGCGGCCCGCCAAATAACCGGCTGCGCCGCCCAAAAAGTGCGGCTGAAAACATTGATCCTATGGGGGGGCGTTGCTGCCCTCGCCCAGGCCCGCCAGAATGGCCAGGCCCCGGTCTCATCGGGCGGCCCCCTCCCGGGCCAAAAGAGGAGCCGTTCCGATCCGAGAGAACCCCAGACTACTCAAGACCGCAAACAAGCACGCGCGCCTTGAGGCGCACTGGGTCATGGAGGGCAGACAAGGGCCGCCCTGGCCGCGGCCGCGTGTCCAGGGCGCCCAGGGCGCCCAGAGCCGTGGTGGGTTCGGGGCGGCTGGTAGGGGCTGGTTCAGGGCGAGATGCCCGCGAGGGTGAGGTTGGCGTCCTTGGGGCGCCCCAGCGCCGACAGGCAGGTGGCCGCGATGTGCGAGGGCGTGAGGCCGGCCTCCGCCAGCTGGTCCTCGTACTTGCCGTGGTCGATGTAGCGGTCCGGCAGCGTCATCGGCCTGAACCGCAGCCCGCCGTCAAGCAGCCCGTCCAGCGCCAGGAACTGCATCACGTGCGCCGCAAACCCGCCGATGGAGCCCTCCTCAACAGTCACCATCGCCGCGTGCTCGCGCGCGCAGCGCCGCAGCAGGTCCGTGTCCAGCGGCTTGCAGAAGCGCGCGTCCACCACCGTCGCGCTGACGCCGCCGCGCGCCAGCAGCTCCGCAGCCACGAGCGCGTCGTTGACGCTGCTGCCGTACGCGATGATGGCCACGTCCTTGCCCTCGCGCCGCACCAGGCCGCGCCCCACCTCCAGGGGCCGCCCCTTGAGGTCCGGGCCGATGCCCTCCGTCGCCAGGTCTACGCCCAGGCCGTTGCCGCGGGGGAAGCGGAAGCAGCTGGGCATGTCGTCGATGGCGGCGGCGGTGGCGACCATGTTGATGAGCTCGGCCTCGTTGGAGGGGGCCATGGTCACCATGTGCGGCAGGGAGGCCATGTAGGTCACGTCAAACGCGCCCGCGTGCGTGCTGCCGTCCGCGCCCACGAGGCCGGCGCGGTCCATGGCAAAGCGGACTGGGGCGCGCACGATAGTGGGGGCAGGGTGTTTGGGGGGGGGGGTAAGATGAGCAGTGGTGGGGTGGGGCAGGCAGAGGGCAAAGGGCAAAGGGACCGCCTCGTGGCACAAGAATTAGCCGCATGGCCGCAGCGGCAGCGGCGGCGGCAGCAGCAGCAGCAGCGGCGG